TGCGCCCGCCGTTTATTAAACCCAATTTGGTCTGGGCCCGAGGTGGGCTTAAGAGCCGGCGACTACTGTACGGGGAATTGAGCCCGAAGATTGTAGTGCTCCAAGTACAACCACTACTTAAACGCTACGCAAATACCTCAACAGTTCGACCGTCGTGTCCGACGAGGTCTAGACTTGCACCGCATCTACCACAGTCTCCCCTTCCCCTCTCATCTGGGCCCCATGTGATGGCAATCACCTACGAACCATAACACAGACAGCCCTCAACATAACACCGAAAAGACCAGATGATAAAGCAGTCAGTTAGAGCATCGTAAACGACGATGTGGGCAGTGACGTGCGCGTGTATTAGTTTTAAGTGATAGGAGACTTGCGATGCATCTACCACAGTTTCTCCTCCCTCGTCCACCTAGGCCCAGTGTCAAGAAGACCGGAGGCAGAATCAGGTGAAGTGGATTAATACTGTATACTACTGACTGTCCGTTAGTAGAACGTGAACGTTACAGAGCTGTTCCGTTGAAGCTAATGAACTTCAATTCAAATAACCCATGTCAGCTTCTGCAGGAAACCTAAGGGAGCTGGTGATTAAGATTTGATCCGAAAACTGCATATTCACTTCTGGGAAATGAAGGAGCTTAACGTGAATGATTCGAATTTATTAACTTTATCCTACCGTAAAGCTGTACAAACACGCGGCAGCACTAGCCCAGAAAACGGTCCGCCGACAACATGCCATGTAGATCTGTGGAGGAAGTAACTCTTTTATCTGTTTGTGCACTCGTTAGAACAGAGCGTTTGACAAATAACTACCGAAAACAAAGCCGTACTAGGCCTCTTTGGTTAACAAAATGAAACAAAAGTCGACAGAAAGAATAAGTTAAAATACTTACGGGCTTCTTGCTGGCAATTACGTATCCAATGTGACCAGAAGTGTACGTAGGTACAATGTTGTAGGCATAACCCACAGTGGGAAAGACTTTGCCGCAGAACTTCAGCATGTTTTGTATAACATTCAAATCCAGAAGCAGTGTTTCACCTAAAAAAGAGTAAAATACTCAATTGTAGAAGGAGCTTGCAGGTGTCGAAGTTCTGCAAACGCTTTGAAAGCGCGATCAAAATCTGCTGTCAAAAGTGGAGAAAACAGAATGGATGCATGCCTAAGGGCAGCTAGAACGCCAAGGCGAAAAAATAGAAGCTTGTGGGGGCGATAACTGTTTACGAAGTGCGCACTTACTTCTAAAAATATTTGCTGACAGATTTTCCACCCGAATAGCAGTCAGGGCTTTCCAAAAATAGATTGACTTTGTGAATTCTAATCCTCGGTTAAATGGCGTTAGTCACTCATGACATTTAACCAAGGATTATATCTAGGAAATGCAATACAGCTCCGAATAGTGATCAAGCAGGACCCAACAAAAGTACTTCTAAATAGCCACTCAAACATGCACAAGCTTTCTTTTATTTAAAGTAAAACGCTGAATCCGTGCAACATGCCGACATTTACGAAAGATTGATACTCACCCGTTAATCGGCATTGAGTAAGGTTGCAATACTGATTATCGTGTAGCCTATTCTCCATTCATTTCAGTCATGATAGAAGGGCGGCTTTTCAACGAGCTGCTTTCTGACCACTCACAAAAAGCATGTACTCTAAAAATGGCTACTTAAGTAGTATACACCTTTATCACAGATTTTGACTTCATTTATAAATTCTAATATATTTAATGGAAAAAACGGACGAATAACATATTTCTTGTACTCATTTGGAAGCAAATTACGCTTTTTTAAACTTTACATTTAAAGAAAGGGTATTTTTCGGTTTTATAAAAATTTATAATATTAGATTTTTTTACGATTGCGAGGTATTCATTCATAGTACATCGTATCCGTCAACTTATTAATGTTGCCTATAATGTATACAGCATGATCCACGCCTACTGCAACATTTTATGAGAACTATGTAACTTCTTCCTCAAACCTTAGGCAAAAACGTACTTTTCCTTAAACAGATGTACACAGCGCACAGTTTGTAAACCTCAAATTGAAGTGTGGCATAAAATTTGAAGGTGTAATTTGCTACTAAACGTGTAAAAGAAAGAACTTTTCATGCATGTCTTGCAAAAAATATGTTTGAATGTATAAAGGCAGTCAAAATCAATGATAAAAGTGCACATTACTTAAGTAGACATTTTTTACAGTACATACTTTTTGTTAGCGTTCAGAAAGAAGTTCGTTAAGAAGCAATCATCCTATCATGACTGATTTTACTTGAGAATAAGCTCCACGATAATCATTATTTCTACCTTACTCAATGCTGATTAACGAGTGAGTATCAATCTTTTGCAAATGTCGGCATTTTGCATGAATTCGCAGACGTAATGTACATCCTGACGTTTCGCATTCTGTCGACAATCCTTAATCACGTGTAACCGTAGGATCGTGTGAGATATGCGCAGATGGGGTATTGCATGAACAGATTGCACGGTATTTATAGTTCGTAGCGGTCATCCGCATGCGCAATATAATTAATAGCTCGTGTACCCACCGCTTGGGGTCTTAATTAGTGCGGTAGCAGCTTGACACTTTGCTTTCGACTCGTTAATTGCCGCGATTTCGTTGTCCGTGTCGGATGCGGGCTTGATAACTGCGCGACAAATATGCTCGCTGTCCTCAGAGTTGTTGCTGGGCCCGGCCCTTTCTACGCGACTGATGCTCTGGCTCAGGCAATGTCTCAGTACGCAATATGGGAACCGCAAATCGTTGCGCTTGTTAATGGACTGTGGGCCTGAAAACCATGACTCTAGCATCTCGCGACTCATGAGACTGTCATCGTTTACGAGGATATCGGCTTCGTTAAATGTAGAAATATGTCCGGGTCCCCTCGAATGACCTACAATCTGGAAGTTATCGCCTTTCTTCCTTACCACCGCAACGTGCTCGGCCATTCGCG